ACAATTTATTTAAAAATGTTGGTGTTTCAATGAAAACCAGACTTCACATTGCTGTTTAAGATTTACTCCAAGAAGCTACACAAAAAATTGAAGACACTCCAGCTTTGCCAGCAGAAAGATATTTTTTGCAACATATAATTATTTCAAAATGAAGTGGTGAATTAAACATAAAATATAAAATTTCTTAGTGGTGTAGATAGTTCCTTAAGGTCTGAAATATCCTACCTTTTGTAAAACACTTAGGCAAAATGTTCCTAACATAAGAAAAATAATTGTATGAAATGACTGATAAACTCAAGATGACCAAATTGCTCAGTACTTTTTTTACTTTCTACCTCCATGTTCAAACTCCCTAGTTAAACAAAAATATCTGTTGATACTTTGAACTTAAATGACAAAATGAAAAGCCCTGATATTAAAATCATGACTTGACACTTGGAGACCCCTCTCCTGCTCCAGTTAGGAGTGATGAGGTCTGAACAAGTGTTGACACATACTGATTTAGAGAAGGACCAAGTCTCTGAATATTTTAAGTTTTCCTCCAACGCAGCTTTCTGCTGACATAGTAAACCCAAGACTAGAAATCAGCTCTGAGTATATTCTTCCTGCCACCCCAAACCTGGACTGCTCTTATGACATGCACCTTTCCCTTCCCCGACATGTATACAACTCTGATATTGTCTATATTAAATTTTTTACCTTCTGGATATTTGACTTCCACTGAAATTAATATGTAACTTAAGAAATGAATTAGAAAATACTTTTCCAATCTTCAACAAATGACATAAAATATACTGCATCAAAATAAGATCCTTCCAAAATCAGAAACAACAAAGCATTCACTTCAGGTACAAGAGCCTCCAAAGCTTTCTTCCTAGCATAGAAAAATTGTTTGATAATTGTACTTAGCCACACAGGTTACCTAATTTAATTTGATATTGCACAAAAACTAAATATGCTGTTCTGAACTGTAATCAACGTATTTGTTTGCCACCTCGTAACTCCCTCCAGGATTTTAAGTAACTTTGCCCCTTTTTAACATAAGAAACCCTAATAGTAAAAGAATAATCTAATATTACTGTTAACGTTAAATTAGTTGATACCAATTGCTATGCAAAACCCCATCTGTAGTTCAGAGGAGAGAAAACAGCATTCTGCTTTCAAAACACATTCTCTGGAGCAGATAAAGCTTCATTGACAATATGTGGCTCCAAGAGTTGCAGTTAAACCTTTGGTCAAGAGATCAAAGCCAATAAGTTTCAACAATACCTAACTGGTGTTGGTGGGGGCGGGTGGGGAATCAGTCCCAGCATATTCCATTCCCAAATTCCAAGAATTTTAACTGACACAAATGTTTAAGATTACAATTCTGAACATGTTCTTCATATAAGGAGTATTAGTTACAGATATCATACAGACCTCATTGACTGAGTGTTCTATAAAAAGCTTTTCAACTGCAAACACTATTCAGATTATCGGTAGTCTATTCTTTTTCTCTATGGTAGCTGGATAGAAGAGCAGTTCACATAATTTTAAAAGCTGAAAATGCCCTCCAAAACATTCCTTTCATGAACACTTCTGATGCCTTTAGTGCAATCAACAGATTTCTTCTCTTTGGAAGAGATCTTATTTTTACCACAAGAATCTCTTGCCTGCTGCAAAAACAGTGTTTGTTTATTCAGTGCAGTCAGTGAAAGGTGTACTTCGCAGAAACCCCCAAGTAACATTATCTTGCACTCAGCCTTTATATTAAATTTTATTTATATTAGACATCTAAAAAGTGAGTCTCTCCCAATTTAAAGCTGCAGGATGACATTAACTAAATGTTATTACAAAATATATCCAGAAAGCTTAGACTGTACAAATGCTGCACTCTGAAAGGAAAAACTTAATTTTAAATTGCTGATTTAAGATTACAAGGAGGGAAAGCGCAACATCTTTTCAGGTTGGTTCACACTCTGTACAATAATTTACAGCTTTCAAATGCTTGCAACTCTATCAGTTCTTAGCTTTTGGGTTTAATTTTCTAAGCAGGGTAAATGACTTTAAAAGTTCGATGTCTTCCCTCAAACTTTTTTAGAGACGTTTTCCAAAAGAGGCTGTAGCATCCCACAAGCTTATTGCACTGGACATTCAGAAGCAGTCTGTCTGTGAAGGATATACCTTTCCCCATTCCTGTACTATCCAAATTTAACCAAGCAGGCCTTGAAGAAGCTTAACTTGTACTAAACCTGAAACACAGTTTGCATATATATTTCCAAAGTCTACTTGCAAGCGTTATCACTGAAGTAGCTGAATATTCATCAGATGAATACTCCAATAACCTCTTTTCAGCTTTCCCATTTCTGGATATAACTCCTGAAAGACAGCTATAAGAAAATATTTCACAAGGTAGTACTGCTTAGTTAAATAAAAATCTTACTTGTCAAGATTTGGCTCAATTGTTTCATTGTGCAACCTCAAATTAATCAGAACGCTGTAAGACTTCCGTTGAGCATGACTTTTTATTCTGAGGTGAAATATGACATCACATATACAGCTTCCATTTGTTGTGGCTACTTCAGTTGGCCAGGTGATGACATAATTCACACCATGTAATGAGGACCTAACGCTGAACATTTTTATTGGTGTTGCACAGCTCTTAGCACTCACGTTTAAGTTAGTGAGTCCACATTGATGATGTGCTGCTCTCACTTGCATTTCTAGAACTCATTTTACATCAGTAAAAATGCCTTGGGAAGTGAATTTTAGAAAAAATACTCCTGCAAATCTACTCAGATCTTACTGGAGATTAAAGCGTTGGTGCAATGAGAAAAACTGGACACAACCACCACGACAGATCCAGCTTTATCATTACAGTAATTTCAAGGTAGTTCTGTTCTTTTTGCTATATCTTTAAACCATACAAAATTAATTTTAGAAGGAATGTGCCAGTAAAGGGCTTAAGGACATTCTTCATGTCATTAGTAAGAGTGTGAAACCAGGCCACAACACATTCTTTAACTACAGCAGATCACAGCAAAGAGCATTTTTTTTTCTTTCTAAGCAGAAAAGAAATATACACTTCACTTGAACAAACTATCAAGTCAAGCCCAAAGCTTATTCTAATGCAAAAATTAGACAAGACGATGCTAACGTATTGACCAAAACAGCCGTAACTGAATAAAACCCATTTGTTTTCCAATGTAACTTTGTTTTTTCCTAAATATACACTTGCATTCCGTAAGGCAGTATATTTTTAAAGTGTCAAGACAAATACACCAAACCGTAAAGATTTCTCCATACAGCAGTAAGTATTAGAAAACCATAACGGCAAGGGCCAGAGTATCATAAGATTTTGAAAAATTTGACAGCAGGTTGGCTTGGGACTTCTATGATCAGCAAGAAAACATTTTGAACCTGGCTTCACGTTTCATAAACCATGACATATAGCTAAAAAGCATCTGGAAAGCTAGAAACTGCATTTCCGACCCACATACAGTGCATATATACTATATGTGTACATGTGATGGGAAAGCTGCAAAATGACATGTTTAATCACATTACATTATGCCTGGCTTCTTCTTTGCCTCTTTTTAATTCAGGACTAGTTTTAACATCTATGCCAACAGGCAGGGTAGCATGTGATAGTATGCCACACCAGGGATTTTCACAAAGATTAGTAGAATCATAAAGGCCGGAAAAAGACCTCAAGCACTTCAGACAAAATATGACCATACGGACTCTTCCATTCCAGACACAAACAATTACCAACATCTGAATACTTGAAAATACAGGAAATTAACAGCTGTTAAGATCATGTTGGAACTGATGGATGTTTCTGCGAGGGATGTAACAGGGAAGTAAAAAACAGAGGACAGAATGAGTAACTCTGTAGGACTACTTGTCATTAAAACTATTATTCACTGTCCACTGCAAAGTATTTTTTTCTATTTAAGTATAAAGCACGTAAAAGTCAACCAATTTTGTAATACCGGAATATATGCATTTTAGAGGTTTCATTCTAGATTCTAACATCAATGGCGGCATTGTCACTCATATCAAGCTATGAAACAACTGAAATAATACTCTGATGGACATACAGATCACAGCATAAGTAAGACTGTCAATTTATTAATCTTGAAAAAAATATTAGCCCAGCTGAGTAAAGGAAGTATCAAACTTCAGGAACAAACAGAGTAGTTTAATAAACCCTAACAACCACAGGAGGCCATCTTGAATCTAGGTGTAAGAGCAACTCTTATCTGCAAAAATACCAATTGTTTTTTCTGGAAAAGATTGGAGAAACATTCCCTTAATTTTATGTGACTACTGACATGATATCAAAGAAAAGCTACATTTTAAAAAAGGCTCACTGATCACTTTAAACAAACTAAACTGAGACATAAAGTAACACTAGATTAGATTGGCTACAAAACTGATACATATTAAACACATTTATCTACTTTTCAGATACACAGGAATATAATTTACCCATAATTATTCTATAAAGCTGAGTCAGTCATATGAACCCAGTTTCTCTTGTCACCTTAGTACAATTAAATGCAGCCATATCTCCAGATTTTAGCATGTTCCAAACTCTAAGATCTGCATTTGTCTCAGAGGCTGGTGATTTATAGGTTCTCATAAATTAAAAGCCATCATTACTACAACAGTCAAATATTTAGCTCTAAGAGTCCTAGCAGGAATAACAGTTTAAGTACTTCTCCAGGAGTCAATCAGTGTATCTATAGAACATATGGGAAAATAATTTCCTAGAAAACTGATACTGTATGTAAAACCTGAAGTCTTTGTGAGGTTTAATAGGTATTTTCTTTCTGAAGCTAGTGAAGTTATTTCTTGCCATATACAGAGTATCCAGAATCGACTAGTGGTTATAGATTCTTTACTGAAGTATTGAAACAGTTTCATGAACGCTGAAAAGATAGTGTTTAGTTGATGTAATTAATGGAGAAGTGTGTTTGTCATCAGTGTTTCCCACCAGAAATACCTCAGCTTACCTAAATAGGGAATACAAGGAGTCATCTTCAAGCTGCTGATATAGTCTCTAAGCCTTTTGTAATTATCTTCTTTACTCATAACATACTCCAGCTTTTCAAAGGTGGCTTTATCCTTCCGACTCAATAACTAGAAAAACAAAAAAGCCAAAACTAAAATGACATTAAGTTTGATCATTATGATTTCTCTTTTACCCTTTAAAGCATGGATTTCCAATCCCCACCCCCAAAGCCCCCTTTTGCTGTTGTTGGTTTTGTTTTCAGATACAACCGCTTAAAAATTACAGCATTTAAACCTTATGGACGAGTACTTTAAGAGTTTACAAAGAACAGCAACTATTTTGCCTGCTAAATTTAAACTATCCTTTTTAAAAATCAGCCAGGTATAAACTTTGGTGTCCTGGAGGATCCTTCTGAAATAATACAAGTTTTCAAAAGGCTAATCTAGCTAAAACACAGCACACTTCACATCCTGTCCGTTTCTACAGTATTTCAAAACAATAGTTTATTCACTCTAATTATCCCCAAGTTAACATTTCTCTGTCAGATATACTGAGAAATTTTATAGCAATCCAGCCTCACAAAAACCTACATTCCAAAATACGTTCTTATTCTTGAATTGAGAGATATCTCAACAAATTCCTTTCCAAAGAGGTAAACAATACCATTAAGATCTGATAAATACCTTTAACTAAATTACAAATTTGAAAACAATGAATGCAGATATACACAAATCCACATACTTGAAGGCCGGGAAAAGAATAAGGATTTAATCCATTTCTCTCTACAGAAGGCATTATGAACTTGAATACAGGCTGTGTATATTGTTCTGCCAACTAGCAATTTTACTGGCTCTTCATATTACAGGAATGTCCACTTTGAATACAACGCTTAAAAGTCACTAATGTCCTTCATCATCTATCCCTCCTCCCCCATCCTGCCCCTTCTTTTGGAAGAAATAACAGCAACGAGGCTCTCTTTGTAAGATGGGGAAAGTAAGTTAAGAAATTTTTAAAACATCTAGGTGAACTAACACTGCAAAACCACCTTGAAGGCTTAATTTCAATTCAGACCCACAAATTTAAAAAGGGTGTAAAATGTTCTCACTGAACATTTTGGCAGGAGACTCAGTGTTCTAGTCCCAGTCACATTTTTTCCCCCTATAAGATATCCAATAGTGCAAAAATTATAAGGGTCAGATTGTTAAATTCTTACACATATTCCCTTTTCTCTTTCAGTTAAAAGATCAACCTATGTGAACATGACAGAAGTGAAATGTCCCTTCTGTAAAGCTGTAAATTCACTATTGAACAGCTCCTCTTTCTACTTACATTTCCTATATCCTAGTCTTCATTAGGATAGCTAACACACCACCAGCTGAACACTGGCTTTCAGAAGAAAGTCACTTCTAAAAAGTGAATTGTTTCCCAAGACATACTGATCTCTGACACTCCCCTAATTAATTTACATCCTTAGCTTTGGTTCCAATACTTAGATGAACAGCATCTCATGTTCACTAGAACTGCAGACACCTGCCAATTCCAGGACAAGGAAAGAGTAGACAGGCGTGACTTCTCCACAGCCACTGGAACACGACACTTGTCTTACGAAGTTTACCTCCTCAAAGGCAGTTCGAGCCCAGATTAGCTTGCCTTTAATAATATTCTAAAATATTCTATCTGAAAGGTTTTTGTAGTTTTGCAGACTGGAAGGTAAGACAAGACTAAGATATATAAATTCAGACTTGAATGCAATTAATTGTACTTTCCTAAAAATATGCTGATATGCACAATCTTGTTCAAGCCTGATAAAACATTTCATGCTCTTTGAATAATCTCTAAACACATTGATCCTGCATGACTTGCCCTTGTGCTCGGGGTACAATGCACACCACATCTCCACTTCCTGCATTCATGTAGAAAAGTACAGAGAATCTGACAATATTAAAGTGTTTCTGTGAGGACAAGTAAGGACCCAGCTGTTATTTCTTCAGTTTTGGAGCTGCTTCCTTCTTTTTCTAAATAATTTTTATTCCTCTGTCTCTTAGGCTCAAACGATGCAAAGAACAGTAAAGAAATGTACACACGCAGAGACAACAAAAGCTCAGGCTGATCTGATAATTTACAATAGCACAGAAGGATTTAGAGCCTTCCAGATTCTCTGCTTTCCAATTAGAGCATGCCAGCACTGAAAACAAACTTTCTGAAATGTAAGAAAGGAGAGATGAGGTTTCAGGGTGCTGGCAGATTGGAGCAGAATTCACACACCTCACTTCAGATGTCTAATGATTATTTGCCTACATTGCCCAAGTCCTAGCTGGTCATCTAGACTTCCTTTATGTTAAACGGAGAGAAGTAGAATTTTCTATTCTATGTACTTTCTTAGAAAGGTTCATAATTCTTTTCATGTTTTGAACAGGGCAAATCACAGATTAGAAGCATTTATTATTCTCCAGAGTTCAGAGGGTGTGCAGGCAATGAGCGAGACAAATTTCAGACATATTCAGACATATCGTCAGAAGACATGAATTTCATCTTTTTTAGGAACATTAGATTACCAACCAAATATTTAATGGTGCCTTTCAACTCTAGATTCCAACCATATAAGGTGATTTTTTTTTTCCCCCCAGGGAGTGAATATAGTTGTGATTAGTTTCCTGACATTATAAGTTGGGTTGACTGCAGATTGCTACAAACTCTCTCTCCTTCCTTACTGAAGGTTTTGGAAGGTTATCGAGTAACTTACTCAAATGACCTGGTGACTCAAAAAATAGCTTGGGGTGCCTTTTCACATCTTTTCTTGCTTTTAATACGCAGAAAGACAAAGGCTTAGAATTACTTCAAGAATTTATAAAGTGAACTTCCAAGAGAAAGATATCTGAACCAGTCTGCAGTGCGCACAGCTAGGCGTTATCCTGGAACTTGAATTTGCAAAGGCTTATATAAGATGATGAAAAGCATAGACTCGCTTGGGATTGTATAAGGAATTAAACACCTGCAGAAATGTGGGAGAAGCTCACTGGCATTCCAGAAGTCAGAAGGAGGGCAAACTTTAAAAACTGGTACATATGCCAACATCACACAAATAATCCTTGTAAGTGCAAAACTTGACTTCTGTCTGACCATGTAGGCAGAGAAACTGGGGATTCCCAGTTCTGAATGGCATAATTATATTAATATAACCTTATTATTTACTACCATATGGTTATAGTTTAAATTTGTTTCGAGTCATGCACACAAAAAAAATCAAACTGGCACAGTTATAAACCACTGAGGCATCAATTCATTGACATGACAAAACCTGAAAAACAACAGTTCTCTTCCAGATCATTTTGAAGTGTTAACTTCGTCAAGATTTCCTTAGACAGATTTTTGGTATTTTGAAACAATGTCTTACTTAATTGTACATTTGCAAAATAGGCACAGAATTCTTGATGAGTATATCAGCAGGAGTGAATTATATTCAACTTCGGTAACTTTTATCAGCTGAACAACATTATTATTCAGTTATCAGACAAATAAACACTTTTTTGTAATAGGTGAGGATGTGTTGACATGTCTCAGTGAAAGTTTTTAGCTCTTCTTAATGATCTGTTTATATCGATCCCCTGCACAGGAGTATTTCAGTCACCTGATTATTTCTATCACACTTGAAAACATTACAGTTCATCTCTTTATGCAGCTGGATAACTACACAAAGTATGGCTGAATCAAGCAGTGTTTTCTCAGCTCTGAGTTATCAATGAATGAAAGTAATTCCTAATGTTCTTCTGATAAAGGATACAACTACAGAATAATAATTCCAGTCAAAAACCACATGCCAAATAAAAAAATGTTTCCAAAGAACATAATTCTTTCATAATTGTACAAAATTATGCCTACAAATATACTGCGTAATGCAGTTGTTGTAACAATGAAAATCTGAAAACTGGGAAAAACTGCCAGATTTAGTTATCAGTCAGAGAAACTATAAATCCCTTCATGGAAACTGAATCAAGAGTTTCTGGACATCTGCTCTCCATAGCAAAAAAAAATTCCAATAGTATAAACCCCCTAAACGATTAAAGTGTGACCCGCTTTGGCATTCATAATTTTCCAGCAACTAAATACAAAATAGCTTCTGGCCAAATTAGAAGCCTCTGCATTTAGCAGAATCTGCAGGGAACTATTTTTCAAAGGAAAATATTTCTATGCCAGAATGGAAAAAAAACTCAACAGGAAACCATAGACTTAAGAGGCACTAGAAGCATTATGTACATGGCACAAGAAGATTACAAGTATCTGTAATAATTATTGCATCCTTCAAAACAAGCTACAGAATGTACTCCTAAGAATAAATTAAAACCCCTTCATTGTCGTGCTGCTCACTTACCGCCCACGTTTTAGTCAGCCTGAAGATTGGAGCACTCTGCAGGCCTGACACAACTGCCATAAGTGCATGCAGATTATTCAGCTCATAGAGTTTCTGAGGACAAAAACATATATAATAACAATAAACAACATTCCAAGTGCTGTCAATAATGAAAACAGAATAAATAACCATCTAAAACAAAGAAATCTTGCATGATCTAAACCAAAGAATTAATAACAGTGAACTGCTGTGCACCCATACCTTTTACGGCACCTCCTAATTTCTCCTTACTGTATCTATACAGTTTTGGATTAGACTATACTAGCCGTTTCATAGTCCAGACAGAGCCCTTAAAAAAATCAAATCTATATATGCCTACATCTCGGGACATATAACAGAAGTGCCAAAAATTTTCTGACATTTAAACCCAACAAATTCCTCTCAGAGCATTCAACAGAATTTTCAAACTTAACATGCCAAAAAGGACAACCTAGCTGTGAATGATGTAATCACGGCAGTATTTAATACTGTAAGTGCATTTGGCACTGCAGGGTTACGTAGCTACCAAGGCTGCATCAAAGCACCCAAAAAATATTGTTGCAAGATGAAATCAAGCCACGTAACTGGAGTACTTCTCTCACTGAAAGACAATTTTGGGGGTATGACAACTAACTAGTAAAAAGAAACAATAAGATCAAAACTGAACACAGAAAACATCAGGGTAAAAGAATTTTCTTTAAAATTCTCTACAAAACACTGCACATAAGTGCATTTTCTCACACACTTGGAATTTCCCTCCTCTCTATTTTTTCTTTCCCTCTGTCTCCAAAACCATCAATCTGCCTTGGCCAATTAACTACTGGTACTACTCTCATGAAAGCTTAAAAATGATCCATAAGAAAACACTGTTCCTTAAGCTCTTCTGCAATATCAATTATTCTGATAGCGCTGAGCACCTAGAGATGTGAACATTCAGGGATTTTTGGTGGAGTGCACAAAACCAGAGGTTTTACCCCTAACAAAAAGACTTTGATAAAGAGAAATGGATCGTCAATGACACTACTGCAAATCCTGTAACCCATTTGGAAAATTCAACAGGGTAGGTTAGGATGCCAGCTAGAAATGATACAATAACATAAGGAATTTTCGCGATTCAAGAAATGGTGGAAGTTTTTTTTTTCTTCCTTGAAAATCGACTTATCCAAGTTTTCTTTATAAGGAGTCCTTTTGTGAGAAAACCGGACAAAAACATTAGACTAACTTGATTCTGAATAAATGCTGAATATCAGAGGAGACCTTATATTTGGCAGGCTGAAAGCAATACTGCAAGGATGTTCTTCTGGCTAATAGCTTTGGAGCAGGGCAAATTGTTCTCTCTCCACTTAACCCACTGCCAGAAAACTAACAGCCTTTTATAGAATGAAGTCCTCAACAGGTATTACTCAAAAACGCCACATTTGATCCTTACTGTTAGGTCACACTAGCAGCAATTTCAGTCTGGGTGCCCAGAACCCTACGATTCCAGAATGTCTACTGATGAATGGGTGTCTTTCCACACCTACTGAAGAAGTGTTTCCCTCTCCTAACCCTCTTTTGGGAGGATTCTTTAGTAACACATGTAAAGGCCAATCAATATTTTGTAGGGTGAGGTGATGGGGTGAATATCTGTCACATACCGTAGACTTACTGTTCTTCCAAATAGTACTGCTGATGTTTGTCCCTTCACTTACACAATAACCCTTTTTTTTCCCCCACACACACATCCCCAAACAAGGTAAAGTTCACTGTCCCAAAGGACAGTGTAGCTGATTAAAAATGAAAAAAAAAAAAAAAAAAAAAAGGGGTTCATGCACCTTCCCAAAGGGAAAGATGGGTGAATTAAAAAAAAATAAAAAAAAAAAAAAAAAAAGGGCTTTCCTAGTTGCTCCCAGCATTGAAGAAGTCATAACCCACCAGGATTGTCTGGGAACTTCCGGGGAATGCAACTATTAGGTCCAATTAGCTCATGCATAAAGCAATATAGTATGAGATACCATTAAAGGACTGCTAGCTATACGACAGTCATCAGAATTCACTGCAGAATGGATTTACAGCTTTTCTGAAGAAAAGTTAATTGGTCTGACCTCTGGCACCAAGCTGCTTTGACGTAAATGTAAATGCTTTGGTGTAAATGGAAAATCCTTCAAACAGCGCTAACTGCAGTAACTTCATGTTAGCAACACCAAGATACTAGATACAGTAAGTAAATTAAAAGATACAAAACCACCCCATAGACAGTTCCTTGCTTTTTGGAATTGTGATTTTTACAACCCATAGGTAAGCAAAGCTCAACTAATTTTAATCGTTAGAGCACGTAACTGTCTCAAGACCAGCAGCATTTCAGACAGTGCTGTCTGCAGTCCACCGATGAGATCAGGCATGTTGAGGGTGCTGTGCCCAAAGCAGAGTCTACAACACCCAGCGTCAGCAAGTCCCGTCTAGGAACCAACCAGGCCGGACCCTGCTTGGCTTCCAAGGACGGTTCTGCACTGTGACCACTGCAAGGAAACCTTCCCTCCTCTATGGAGGATCATACAGCAAATTTTTGTATGTTAGCATTTCGAACAAAAACCCAGGAATTGATCTTTAAAAATACATGAGATGAAGACACATTAACTCACCAGGTATCAAAGGATATTTAAGAAAGCTCCTTAACAGTTTCTACACTTTTATACAGTCTCAACCACTATGACCACAGCAAGATTACTGAGCAAAGCCTGTGGAATCTCACAAAATTAGCTTGCTTTGCCCAAAATTTGTAGTCAAATCCCATAGAAGTAAGACACTACATCATTAACAAATGAGCACATCAAGACAAATAATGCATTTCAAAGTGAATAGCAAGGTAGGTAATTAACAACAATTTTACATTTGTTTTTGTAGGTAACCTGAGGTGGTCACAGAAGTTAGCTGTAGTAACAGTCGGCCACCTTCTGACAGCAAAAACTTGAAAAACAAAAAAAAATCCCTCTCTTCACACTACGATGGAGAAGTTTCATTCATTTTATTTGAAGGGCCTGGACTGTGGTTCATTTACACAAAGTCAAGATTTGCTGAGCCTTTTCTTATGAATGTGAGTCCTAAAGGCTTTCAGGAAGATATCAAAGGATGAGAGCTCTAAAATGTTTTCTCAGTTCAGGTACACTTTTGAAACAATATTTATTAAGTTGATATTATTCGTGACACAACTGGAATAAGAGATAATTTTTTTTCCTTCCAATAGTAAAAGCAAACAAACAATTTATGTTCTAACTGATGCTGTTTGTACTGATTTTACACACAGCGCTTTGGTTTAACCAACATTAGAAAACACATCTGGTAAATTATATTATCTAATAAACAATATCTGAAATAAGACATTTTTGCATTTCCTTAGTTAAGCTATTTTTTTTTTTGTAAACAAAGGCTTCTATTTCAGGATTTTGGTCTGTCAGTATTTCTGACAACTTTGTTACATGCATAAGCCGAACAGCTATTCATGTCAGCAGATACAACCACAGCTAAATCAGGTATCAGATAAATATTTACTCATGTATTTCTGAACTGACCAACTTAAGTATAAGAACTTTCATCATGGTGAATCCCACATCCCTCCCCCCCATCCAAATTCTTACCTTCGCAGTTTTAATATAGTGGCTCAAAACCTCAGCTCTTATTTTTAAAGTTTGTGCATGGAGTATCTCTCTAACAACCCAGAAGCTTACCTAAAAAGAAAGTTTGCCTTTTTAAAATACAGAGCTTCAACGTTACATTTTTAATATTTTCACTTCATGAGTAATACATTAAAAGTCTCACAGCTTTCAACTTCCATCTATAAAGCTGAATCCATAGTAGAAGATGCAAATGCTTGTAGTATAAAATCCCAACCAATATAACCCAGATCCTAATAAAAAACTTTCTTCAATGTGTTTTGCTCTGTTATTCTGCTCATTCTCACCCAAGAAACCTTCTACCATTACACGGTCAAGCAGTTGCTTAAATCTAATTAATAAATCCAACTTATGCTTGGAATTGCATCTTTTATCTTGCTACCCTCTTCACCTTCCCCGTTTCATAACTGGTAGCCAAGCACTCCAGTATTTTGTTGGAGAGCAAACGTTCTGGTGACTGCTTTTCTCGTAAGCGTGTGGGTGGCTAGAACTTGTCTTTGTAAAAGTTAGTTGTGTACAAAGACGTTTGGATCTGTTTTTCCAATGAGGAAAACCCTTCTGCCACCAGTACATCTCAAAAAAACCTCATCAGAACCAGTTATGTACGATCTATGCACACAGACGCGTTCTCAGGCTCAGTTTGAGGATGAGATCTCACAGACAAAGCAAATGGCAAAACTCTTGAACTTCAAACAAGGTTCTCCCAAGAAAATAAACTCATGACAAAATTTTATTAAGAGAGTCTACAAAATGAAGGAATATAAAAACTAAAATTGAGTTACATCCTTTGGTTTTGCTTCTCCACAATTCTCAGACAAGTCGAACAGCTTCAACTACAGTTCATTGACATTTCCAAACTCTCAACACCTCTGAATAAAAATAATAATCAGACCGATATCACCCAAACAAAATTGGAACATAAGGCAGAGGACCCTTGCTATAACCTAGAGTTTGTTTGTACTCTTATGGCTGGCTGTGCCAATTACCTGCTAATATACAGCACGCTACCATACTCATTTGTTAAGTTTTGTAGGACTAACTTCACTGTTGTATAAAAATCACTGCTATATTCAGTATGGTATGAAGGATGGTTGCTGCATTTCAGAGTTACATGAATGCCTCACAAAAGCTACACTTTGAAAATGTTTCATTAACATGTCTAAATTCTTATACTTTCTCTGCTCCCCCCATGCCCTCTACTCTCATATACTTTATCACAAATGACAGAAAATAAACACCTTCAAAACTGTAATAAAACAGTAGCAAAGAATTAGCAAATGGTAATAAATACTGTAGTTTTTATTCATGTATTCACTACACGTTAGGAAAAAAATTAACGATGAGCAAGATACAGCATGACTGCTATTTACAAAACTACTGAAAACAGTATATGAAGAAATATATGCTCTCATACATAAACATCTTTCAACCTGTCACAATTTTTAAAAGTGATGCTAAACTACTTCTTGTAAACTAACATTGCACATGTATTCAGGTTCCTGCCCAAAATTTCAATTAAAAAATTAATCCAAAATTACATTTTCAGTGAAGTTATAGTGATCTGATGAGAACTGAGTTGTCAAAACACAACAGCTCTTTGGAACTGGAAGATGGAAGAATTACAAAAAAAACACAAAAAACCCCACAAATATCTTGCATAACAACTGCTTTCCTTTGGTCTGTTTGTCTAAGCCTGTATTACAGAATCACAGAATCACAGAATGTTAGAGATTGGAAGGGACCTCGAAAGATCATCTAGTCCAATCCCCCTGCCGGAGCAGGAACACCTAGATCAGATCACACAAGAACGCATCCAGGCGGGCTTTGAATGTCTCCAGAGAAGGAGACTCCACAACCTCTCTGGGCAGCCTGTTCCAGTGCTCTGTCACCCTCACTGTAAAGAAGTTTTTCCTCATACTCAAGCGGAACCTCCTATGTTCCAGCTTGAACCCATTGCCCCTTGTCCTATCACTAGATGTCACAGAGAAGAGCCTGGCTCCATCCTCCTGACACTCACCCTTCACGTATTTATAAACATTAATTAGCCAGGAAAGAATTAGGCACGGATCTCAGTTTTCTTTTTCCTTTCTTTTTTTCTTTTTTTTTTTTTTTTTTTTTTAAACTATCTCCAGATAAACTGTGTTACCCTGACAAATATAAAAAATGTTCTATGCAAACAGCATTACTATAAAATACATAGGTACTGAATATGTAGACACTAAAGTATTTGACAGTACTTCTGAATCTTGTAAAAAAAGGTTAAACCTCAGTTTGATGTTCTGCTGTAGTTACACAGCTTGAGAAAACCAACTTTTCCCTTGACTGATGAACGAGTTTCTAAGGAGATGCTTTCCCTTTGAAGATCAAGTGATTTAAATTTTTAACACAGATTTTCATAACATAAAGAATCAGGTAGAAACAACACACATATTGCTTTGCCTTAAAATCCCAAATCTCTTCAGTCTCAAGATAACAGCATGTCGATGAAATAGGAGACTGCTTGTGGGAGGCCAGACTATGAAACACTTGCTCAAAATACAGAGCAATGCCCAATCATTTTCATAAGGATGAAAAAACAAACAATTTACAATGTTGGCCCTGACTTCTATGAAAGTTCATTAGTCTCACAGTGACACAAGCACTGTGCTGCACAAGTACTCCTGTTTACTCAAGGAAACCCGGCTTCTGTCCCAGTCCCAACCAGACCAAGTCTCAAAGCTTCCAAGCTCTTGCATGAAAAACAAACCAGAACAAAATGCAAAACTTTCTTCAAAGCTTAGAGCCATCCAGTCCCTTCAGTGACAAAGCAGAAGAGAAAGAATCAAACACACTTCACCATTTCCACTCCAACCACCTCCACTCCTCTTTGATGTTTTTACTGGCATTGTCATTCATTTTTGGCTGGTCTTGTCTATTCACTGGTATCTTTAGACAGCATCATCATCTAATTTATTCCAAATATTGAAAAGTAAACAATTAAAATAACCCCTTTGGTTTCAATAGGCTATTTTTTTCCCCCAGGTTCATTCTTCACGTAAATCATACATATTTGTTCCATCCATATTTTGTGGTTATTTTGCTTCAAGTCCTCTGTCACTGCATTTTAAATGTTGTTATTTCTCACACTGTCCCACCAATATCAATCAGTTAGATGACTCAGCCTTTGGGCATCAGTGTCTTTGGTAACAGCTCAAGGCAGTATGTAACTCTTGACACATTTTTTGCATATTTATATTCTTCCCTATTAAGGTCAACCTAGAAAATCACGCCTAACTTTTGAACATATCTTTTCTTGAATCACAGCTTAAGCTTTTGAAATTATCACATTTGCCTTAACTGAAATACTAATTTTGTTATGCTGGTGCTCTTAAGTTCATAGTCACTGGTTCCAAAACTAATTGTGCTTTCCATGCTAACTGGTAGATAATGCAAATTCGAGACTCTCTCTTTAATGGAGTTTCTGGCTCATTCTTCCAAATATCTGTTAAAACCATTCTGACATGCTACACAAAAAGCACGTAATGTAAAACAGACAGTACTGACCTTGCATCATCACAGCTAAAGTAGAATCCCTATATTTTTAGTTTGTTTGTTTCCAAAGGAAGCACACTAACCTCTTCCCCAATCCATTTTTTAATTTCCAATAACCCTAGTAAAATTTCATTATCACACTTCACTGCAACTCAGCAACACCGCAATATTCAATACAAACTTCCTCTCCTATGCAAAGTTTGCAATTGGTTTTTAAAAAAAACAAACAACAAAACCACAGTTTCACGGAGTTAGCACAACAAAAAAATTTGCCTTTTTCAAGTTGGATTTTTTTTTTTGCTTTAAAATTGTTCCAATGTACTGAATCCAGGTGACAAGTTTCTCTAATATTTTAAGCTCTGTGGCAGCGCAGTTCCACTCCCATTTAAAGAAAAACATCAAGAAAGAGGTTTTTCATGCAGATAATCTCATCACCAGGAGAGGAACAGTTACTTTTACATAAACTATGAAACATGTTCATATCAATGCCCTTTTCAACGGGTAGAGAACAATGGTTTAGTAAGTAGGCAAACATGGTCATTTTGCACTGACAGATATACCAGTTGCAATGGTAGTATGCAAGTATACAACTAACTTTCAGAAAAAAGCTGAAAAAGGCAGAGATCAGAGTTTTAAAAAAAGATGTAAAGAATTTACATATTTGAAAACAATACTCAGTAGCAGATGTGTAGATCTATGGAGTACCACATAGCAATGTATTCTTCAAGAATAAAAGAATCTTGGCATGGAACGATTCAATTGATTTCTCTTCCCTGAACTCAATCTGGTTTTACAGGCACCACATATAATTATCACATAACTAGTGCTGGAAATACACTACACTTCATTCTCAATGGACTGCAAACAACTGCACATAATCATTACTGTTTCCAAAACGCTATCAGCAGATCAATTTGCTGTGAAGCAGCTGTTAGTTATTTAATATTCTCTTTACTCACAAAGTGAGAGCTGTTCATGGATTTCTTTTGGCAAGTTAGGAGAAAAAGGAAAAATACAGATGCATAATACATAACTCAAATCCAGTGAAATTTCAAAGATTAACAAAAGTTTGATGAAATGTATCCACGACTGAGAAAGCCAATACTTGCAATGATTTTCTTGATTGATTACTTTAGGTCCAACTATTAGAAACCCCCAGGTAAGTAGGGCAGGTGCCCAACAGGAACTGCACCCTGCTGAGCCAAGATATTCCCAGCTGCCACTGTCTATCCCATAGGAATTCTTGGGTTTCACTGCTCCTGAAAGGATGGTGCATCTAAATACGACATCACTGGTGGAATGAATGAGTCCTTCGCAGTGATGCATTGGGAACCGTAGGCCCACACCACATGAAAAGTTATCCAAGTACTGTCTCAGTAAGTTAAAAGTTGAGGTATAACATGAATAATAAGAACCTGCAACTGAAACAATACTTGCCCCTTTTCCCAGACATCTTTGTTAATCATCTCACTTTTCATTATTGCTTACATTCAGGATATGACCAAATCCTATTACTTTGCACCGACAATACTTACAGTATTTCTTAACCTTCTAATGACTGAAACACTTGTCTGGTCATGGGTTTTGGATATTTGCCTGATTCTCCTCTTGACTGAAGAGAAAATGTTATACTGCAAACTTCTTGTGACTGTACCATCTATTGGAATCTAGGGGGTTTGGGTGAAAAGTGAGAAATTACACAATAAGTGATAGAAAAAAACCTGAAATGTTAGAAGTTTGGTCTGAGTTTTACATGATTAACAAAGATGTCTGTAGATCTGAGACTGGGTACAGAAAATAGGTCTGGAACAGGGCTCGTAAGTTTGGCACATTATTCAACATTTACAAGAGAAGAGATGAAGGTAACAGAATTACTTCATCTGAAACACAAAATATGCTATTACATTAAAAGAAAGGCATTACAGTTTGTTGGCTAGCTACCTACCTGGAGTCCTACAGCTTTAATTGTGGAGAAAGGTAAAATCCTGATCATATTTTTAAAGCTAATTTTACACAGAGAAATTTTTAAGTAAGAAAGCCATAAATCTCAAATACAGTACTTGAAAAGTTATGCCAAATAGAGAATTAAAGAACTAGTTTTGTACAGTAATATTGTTTGGAATTTTAAAAGTTTGCCCAGAATAATCTTAAGAAGTAACCATACTGACAAAAGGCTTATATTTCTACGGACAAAAACATCTTTGCGGAGCAAAAGACACTCAACTAACACAGAAAGAAATTACATCTAATTACTACTCCAGAAATCCTGTATGGTAAGCCTCTAACCTGTAATTATGATTCTGTCTTTATGTAAAGGACAGTCAGCATTTATGTGGGGAAAAAAAAACCCTCTTAATATTTTCCTGTTTAATCAATAACTGCCATTTAAAACAAAACCAAAGCTATTTCTTCGTTACTGTTTTGGTCTTACTGTATATCCTGCAGATAAGGAACTCCTTATAACATATCTTTAAGTTTTAAAGTAATCAGCTGTGATCAGTAACAAATTAATGTGCTAGAACACTCAACTCCCCAGATTTTTTTAAATGTGTACATATAATGACACTGGGGAAAAAAAACCCAACACGACTCACGTGATTGAATCTTCTGGTGAAAGCAACAGCATTTGGTGCAGAACTGTATTTCTCTCTTTTATTCCACCCACAGCTTGCCAGCTCCTGGTAGAACAAAGATGAAAATTGATTTCTTTAAATTAGTGTGTTAACACATGTTCAGAGCCAAAAGCATACAGAGAGACAAATCTTAGTTTCAAAATAACTTAACAGAGCAATAATACATTGAAGTAATAAATATATACACTTTCTGATTTCTTCTATAAATTGAGATTCCACAAGTGTCACCTCTGAATTATCTTATTAGATTTTTAAAATTAATCTTTTGTTGAATTAGAGACTTTTTTAAAAAAGCCTCAGCTCCTATTAGAAACCAGTGAAAAACTCAAGAACCTGAGCTAGGGAGAGCAGCACATTCTTTTGATTTTAATTGCTTTCTGAAGATACGTAAAGTCTACTGAAAACATTGACCTTGTTATCTCAATCTTGACATGTCCCATTATTTTAACTTGGCCTGTTGCCTTGAAGAAATACCAAAGTTGTTATCTTTTGCAGCAACAATGAAAGAAACGCTATTTCCAGCTTCCCTTCCAAAGGAGGCAATTTTAAGTTGAACAACACTCAGCATCTAAACAGTTTTGTGGAGTAAAAGGAAGCAAGGGGATCTGCTTAAAAGTTAAAAAATAAATAAATAAATCACGTGGTTCCTGTACTTAAGTCACCCTAAAAACTGTAGGCCACAACAATCTAACAAATTACTTGTAAAGCCTGAAAAAGCATTACTTTATAATCACAAAATTACAGTGCCTCTTACTTGCCTGTAAAACTTAGCAGTTGGGCAGCTACATCATCTCCCTTGTTTTTTACTACCACTTAATTTCAATAAAGCTGTTTCAATTAAAATAATAACAACCTAAATGTACCAAAATGAGCTCTTCTATTCATATACAATAGCATACAGAAGAGATGCAAATAAATACTGCATACAGCATACAACCTATTCCACAGTGCTACCAAGGAAAATAATCAGTACAGAGACAGCTTAATTATTAAAGTGGCACAATAGCAAAGTACAGTCTTTCCTTTTTATTTATTCTTGCTTTCTCTTCACATCTTCTGCTCTGAAGTGCTCACACTTGCAAGACCTTTCTACCCTGTACAGCCAGCTTTCTTTCCTCTTGACTAGAAACTAAAGTAAAAGTAGTTTCCCTTTGCTGCCTGTCCACAGCTTCTGAGCATTATTACCTGATCACTCTACAAACTCCATTGGTCGCAACCATTTTTCCCTCCTCTAGAACCTGCTCGCCTAAAACCATTGCCCTTGACACCGTTCATCCCACTGCCCTAAGATGCCATCAACAGAAGAGAAGCCACCAAGGTTTTCATCTTCACTGCCTTTGGTCTGGGAGAAGTATGATACAGCCCCAATGAGCACAGACCTGACTCTGCACACACTATTGCAATAAAGCACACTAATTTGCTGAATCAGAATTCAGAAACCGTTCTTATACTTCTATACAAAGACTCATTTCTTCTTTAATTCAAGAGACTGTGTGCTGCCTATTCCATTACTCTAATTCAGGTATGTTTCTCTGATCTTCCTGGAGAACTACACTTTTTCCACCACGAGTTTCCAATCTGAAGTATTCACAAGGATTATTTCCTTAGTCTGCCAGTCAACTCAAGCACAACAGCTACATTACTACAACTACCATTTCCTTACTTTTGTAATTTTAAATTAGGTTCAAGACTGAAAGATTTTGGATCAAGAATACAAGTTAAACTTTCTTCAAAACACATTTTGGTTTTCATTCCTTCTTGAATCTATATAGTTATATTTTCCTTAACAAAATACTATAGGAACACTTAAATTATAACTAGTACTACATGGCAGAAAGAGACTGTGCTTCTCATTAAAATCTTGTCACACAGATCAAAGTGAAAGCTTCAGAAATAGGAAAGAAAAAGCAAGGATTAATAGTAAAACCATTATACAACGTCAGAACAAGTAGAGATGAATAATTAATAAGCAAACTTTTTTTTCCCCACCGCCTAGCCTAGTGAAGCAGAGGGGATAAAGACGTTAAAGACAATAACCCAGTGAAGATTTTCAACATGAGTACATATGGGTAAATAATTTTGGATGATGTACTAAAATATGTAAAATAAGTAATCAGATTTTTCCAATAAAAGCAAGTTAATGTGTTCTGCAAGGGACATCTGGCATTTAGTTAACATTGATGTAGCTACCAGCAGCACAACTGAGCAAGTCTATGACTACCTTTCTGCTTTACAGTCCCTGCTCTCTAGAAAGCCACAACTACCACAAGAAAAAGAAAACAAAAAATAACACACCGCTTGTCATTCATGGGGAACAGATGAAAATCATATCATTGTCTTGGGGTACTCCATCTTTTTTTTTGTTTCCGAAAAATGAAAACGCAAATCAGGGGCTTTCATACAGACAGAAGTTTATGCAGCAGAGGTGTGTTCTCGATTATCTTCATTTCTTACACTGCACCCCCCAATTATTAATTAACAAACAAACAGTAATTCCTTCTACTTTCTTTTCTCTGAAGTAACTTGCAGGCACTTTTAATGATGAAGAAAGGTGGTTTCCAGTATTGCTTGGAGTGATACAGTCAGCTTAAAGCTCAGGCAGAGGATCATGTCACTACTTACTGTCTAAGCCATGGTAACTGTTCAAGTCCGTGCTTCTCGCTCACCCTAAATCTAAGTGATCCACCATACCTTAATCCTGAGTGATGTGGGCTACACTCAGCTCCCTGCCCATTTTTTCCCAAGAGCATGAAACAGGAAGCTGTAGTGGGTGATGTGTAGGAACTCTAGCACACATAGGAACCCACAACAGCTGTATGAAATTTGAATACAGGCAGAAAGAATGACATTTATTTGCTAGAGAGAGAGGCAAAAGGCTGTAGAAGTATACAACTGTGTGCTAGGAGTGTGTTCATTGATTTTGCTGCTAAAAGAAAAATGACTACATACTGCTGTAAAAAAAGAGTGTTATTTGGCTCTGGTTTTTGTTAAGATAAGCAAGATGAAATTCTGATTTTGCTTTTTAAAAAACAAACCTACAATACTTTAAGATAATATTTTAACACAATGAAGATGAAGCAACACAATGATTTAGATAGTCAAGAAAAACTCTGATATTTAAAGAATACTGCTCACACACTTCCTTAAGATGGTGAAAATTCATCTCCAGTTATTTTAAAAATTAAGCATCTTGGAATATATCTCTCAGAAGCCTTCTTTGGGAAAAATTGAAAACACATTAAAGGCTAAAAATATTAATTCATATACCATTCTACAGAGTTTGGAAGCAGACAGACTCACAGCCTGTATAACAAAAGATTTGTCGGTGAATTACAACAATCTATAATAAACACACAGCTTTTAAATCTTGTCACACTGGGAAAGATGTTGTTCATCATCTATCACACATGGGGGTGAGAGCTCTGAAATTTGATTCTAAATAGAGCATCTACTAGAACTGATATCAAAAAACCAAATGCTATCAATGCCTTTTAGTCACTCATTAAAGCCTCAGTTTAGAAGCCCTTTTCTACAGGTGAAATCAGCTCAACATTGTTTTCTTTTCTAATTACAAATTCAACAAGGTTTGAGTGCACACGTCAAGGTACGCGTAAAGATTTAAAACCTGAATCACGATACAGATATGGTACATATATTCTGGTAGACACTTCAAAGAAACTCAGAAACCTACAACACTTCATTACTCTGCTGTCAAGACATCTTTAGGTAAACTAAGTGTTCCACGTCTGTTTTCCCCATCTGCAAAGCACAAGGCAAGGATTTTAATTGTGTCTAGCTTCTTCTGACCTGAAAGTTCATCTGTATGCCCCTTTTTCATAGGGGATTAATGTGGTTTAGAGGCATATCAGATACAAGACTACAAACCTCTGTCTACCTGTGAAGGAGCACTGATGGACAGATAATACTTGCATGTCATCAGTGCCGTCAACTGCTTTCATGCAAACACTTGAGAAGTGTCAAAACAGCTACCTTTCCTCATGTGGATATCTTCCAGTGGAGGTATCACAAGAATTTTTCTTATGCAGTACATACAGATTTTTAAAGGAATTACTTTCTAGATACATTCACCTACTCTCCCACAGTTTTTCCTTTAGATATGTTACATTATTTTATTCTGCTTTTCCCCTTTATGGTTTACAATAATAAGTTAGAACAGCCAACAAAATTAAATGTGCTTTCTTGACATTTCTTCTCATCTCCCAGAGACTTTCTTTAGCTCTGCTCACACAGCAATCTGGCATACAGGAGGTAGCATCAAAAGAGCAACAAATTAGGCGGTATGGAGTACTGGATCACTGCTGCTATATCTAACTTGCTTGCTTCTTTGTCGTTATTAAACAGCTGACTGCTCATCCTGTGCAGTGCTGGAAGCAGATTGCAAAGAAGAAACTACCATCAAGCTCAAGTAGTTGAATTTCTTTATCAGCAGATCATTAGAAAAAGTCCTGACTAGTTAAATTGGTGGTTTGAATTTTTGATATCCAGTCCTTTGAAGCTCGGTGTAATGAGAGATGAGACACTGCATAGAAGCAGCCAGAGCTTATTCAAATTCAGTACTCGGGACTGGTGGGAACCCTACATAGCAGTAATGTTTAACATTAGGAAAAGAAGTACACAAACACACCTATGAGTAAAACAATTAAGAGAATCAGATAAAAGGGTAAAATGCTTTAAAGTTTTGGAAAAGAGCTTTAAAAAAAGAGCTATCCTATTAGAAGATCAGAATCAGTATATTCTGCCAATCAAAAAGACTCTAAGGATGCCTAAAAAAAGAAGTCAGAGAGATCAAATGGGAGGTTCTTTGAAGGATTAAAAAAAAAAAAAAACCACCCAAACCCAAACAAAAAAACACCCAAAAAACCCACACAAATCCACATGGGTTGAGAAATAGCTTGCTAAAATCATAAAAGCTAAATCATGATAACGTTTTCAAGTCCAGATCAAAAGGAAGCCTTCAAAAAGTTTTTGAGTACACAAATGATGTTATCAATAATCACAACCAAGAGACTGAGCAAGTTTCTCCAGTTGAAGCAAAATGTTCTTCAGCATGCCACAAGAGTGACATGACAAAAGCCTGCTGCCAATAAAATAGCTTATGATAGCCTTAAGGTGACTGATGAGCTGAAAAAGACTTCCACACTACTGATGAAGTGGACAATAAACTGAAAAATAAACCTTCGAAAGGGCAAAACAACGCCCACAGGAAAATGCTAATTGTACAGAAACAAGGATAAACAAATTCATCATGTATTATAGTCACTGTGAAGATTCTGAAAACATCAACTCAAGTCAAAAAGGAATATGGCATTACATATAAACAAAACAGAGAAGACAAATCATCAATATATTATCCCAATATATCCACAGATCACACCCAACCCATCTTGAATACAAGATGCCAACACAGCCGTTTTTCCAAAAAAGAGATGAACCAGTTAGGGAAACACAATACAGGATGAAGTATGGCATGAGGTACCAGGAGCTGAAACCTAAAACGTTATGATCAGAATAGTCAAATCAAGATGTTTATCATTCAGAAACCTTAAAACCCAGATACTTCACCTCTAGCACTGGCTGACCGTATTTAAATACCAATACTACATTCCCCAAACAATTAGTTCCAGATATTTTTGTGTTATAAAATATTCTGCTTCAGAGATGTATGAACTGGGAAAAAAATTAAGATTTATTGACATATTTACACTTTGCAATTACAGACTTTAAACACTAGCATAACTTATTTTCATTTAAATTTGAAGACAAAACCAATGAAATACTTACCTCTGGCTGAATTGCTTTAAATACAGGGACATCCATCAGCGTTATCTGACCCTGAAATAAAAAAAAATTATCATAAGTTAAGCTCAAAATTAACCTTGCATTTCATTAAGGTGCTGTGCTGCATAAGAACTGTATTTGTTCTGTTTCCTTTTATTATTTGACTTTCATTTTGCAGCTAATTTCAGAGGTTTTGGCTCCTACCACAGAGCCATCCTGCAAAATGTCATGAATAAAGTGCTCCAAATTTTACATTTAATAAACAAACTATGAGAAATTATTCTCAGGAGCATAATCCTGCCCTTATGTAGGCAAGTCAGAGCTTCAATTCAAAAAGACTGTATAAGCAACTTTCCAAGAAGACAAGGAACTAACTTTAGTTGTTCAAGGGTAGTTTCTCTTCAAACTCTGAACCTTAGTCTAGGTGTTACACAATTCCATTGAAACATCCCTAAAATTTTTCAATGAATACTTGAACCATATTTGAATAACCAAACTAACTGTTCAGTTGCACAGCAACAGTTAAATACAGCCATCTCACTTCCAGCAAGGCAGAACCAGTAAGCACATTTTCATCCTGGGATGTCTGTTCAGCTTTGAAAAGGGTAAAGAGGAACATATCGAGTCAAAGACCAGGTTTTGCATTTTGAAACACATTTACAGATCCTTATTTTAAGGATACAATTTAGGATTGGTGCCTGCTTATGTATTCAAAAGAAACCATTTATTTCAACAAGTATGTAGGTAGCCCAGAAATGTTAGATACCACAAATACCCTTTTAGCAGTGAATCCAGAGACCTGGTTTGGCTTCCTCAGAGACGAGCTGCACAGCTTTATTCCCATTTCCTTCAAAACAGCGGTTCCTCATTTATTATTTCCTCATTTACCACTCTGTGGTACATGGTGACAGCTTTGTAACTCTCACAAATTGCAATTTTCATTGAACGCCATTGCGGGACAGAAGAATAACTTTTAGATGAAGTCAGCCTTGTAGAAAAAATTTAACTAGGATGCTCTAGTTGAAAGCAAGCAGGTGCAAAGAGATGCATCTGCTCTAATGAGAGTACCTGCTTTAATAAGACAAGAAGTGATGAGTTTTGCCAAAGATGACCAAATCTGCATTTGGTAGCAGATCTCCTTGACCTCTAAATCTATTTTTAGGTATGAATTCTAGCAATCAAACATGACCATATAAAAATGATATACATCAGTCCCAGTTTCTGTAACTGACACACTGGACACAACACTCTACTATTCTGCAGTACAACATCATAGAAGTAACAAGCCCCTTATGAGTTTCCTTTTTACAAACTTTCTTGCCTGGGCTCTGCTCTAGTTAGCTGCTCCTTGTTCCAAGCAATGACATAATGATGTTTTAAAGCTCTATTAGATTTTTCTAATCTTGGGCTAAAGTGAGATTAAACTAGAACAATTTCGTAAATCCACACAATCAACTACAAATAACATACACTCAAAAATGTGCATGTCTGAACAGCTTTCTAACAGCAAATCCTGTACAAACTTTCACATAAGACATCCTTGGTCCTGTAACATAAACACACTCACATGTGGTATGAGGCATATGATTTGTACCTGCTATTCATTAATTCTCACAAGCTATTTAAATGCCAAGTTAAAAATTCATCTCCAAACTACCATTTTTAAATGTGATTTAACAATTGACTGATCAGCTGCAGCATCTGTCTTGACAGCACAAAGTATACCGTACCTTAAAAGTTTAAATGAAGGCAAGTATAGCAGACAGACGTACCCCAAAAATTTGTTTTAAGAAGTAGCAGCCATTAGTAATAACGGAAGTCAGGAATGTAGTAGCCCAAAATACTCTTTGCCTTCAACATAACTTCTCTATTTCCTTGCATCTGTAGCAACCACAGTAAAATACACACAATAAAATTTTGCCAAAACCAAAAGTACTTTCAAAATAAAAGCAACCTTGGTAACCAAAACCACTCTATTCTTTTATTATCAAGCCTTAGCAAAATGACTTAATTTCAAGGGTTTCTTTTCCTAAAATCAAGGACTCTTCCAGCATTTTTCTTTAAGATCATCAAGGTTAGAAACACAGAAAACTTCACACGAAGTCTTCCTTCAAGAGGGGTAGCTTTACCTTGCCACAAAAAGTACCAATAGCCGCAAGTCACTCCTAGCAAGGTAAGTGCACAAATTTGTGAAAGTGGGCCCACAGAATGTAAACCATTCCAGCTACAGTTAATAAAACTTTGCTCTTGAAGGATTTTGAACTTGTGTCCAGACAATGCTGGTAATGTTTTGTGCTATTTCCCACCTTTTCCTAACCTGAACAGGTTACCTGGACAGGACCCTTGGACAGTGACAGAAGCACCACTTTCCTAAAAGTCACAACACGCCTGACAATGCTCTGCTATAGGTGAAAGGTATGGCTGGATCTTTATGTTACTGTCCCAGGTTAAGCTGAGACAGAGTTAACTTTTTTCATAATAGCTAGCACAGCTAGGGGCTGTGTTTTGAATTTGTGCTCAGAAGAAAGCTGATAAAAAGTGATGTTTACGCAGCTGCCAAGGTCTTTCAGCTTCTCTGGCTGTCTGCAAACAGGAGAAGCTGGGAGGGAGCACAGCCCCAGTTACTAGCCCAGGATTTGATCTTAGGTTCGGGATTGAGACCCAAAGTGGCCAGTAATCTATTCCATAACATACACGTCATGCCCAGTATATAGGTGATATATACCGGAAGACTGGCCCTTTTTGGTTCCGGATCTCTTTTTTTTGCTCCGGGTCATCTTGCTCCAGGTGGTCGCTCTCCCAAGGCCTTTCGCCCCCACCCCAGTTAGCTCTTGGTCTGGGACGCTCGACTGTTATCTCCATTCCGTGAGTGCAGTTTTGGGACATGGCCTCTTGTGAGCTATTATGAAGAAAGTTAACTCTGTCTCAGCCTAAGCCAGGACAGTTACACACAGAAGAGCTTTAGAAACTTCTAAATATGTCATAGATGTCATTCTTGGTTATGTTACACTGTACCTGGATAAGCGAATACAGCTTCATCTTGACAATTTAATAGCATGCTCTCTTATTTGAGATATCTACATTTAAGGCTCTTTTAAGGAAACAAATATGCAAGGCATGCCTTTACTGGAGCAGGGAAAGACATCTGACCAGTAGAGGGAACAAGATCTTTCTCCAAAAGCACAATACTTAAGAAGGGGGCAGGGAAAATCTGGCTAACTAATTTCTAGAGTTAAAATGGACTTGAAGCTAATAATCATCCTAAAAGGAGCTGAAGTCCAAGTTTATTTATTTCTAAATCCTACTTAACATTTTAAGATTATAAACTGAGAATGCCAAAGAAAAGGGCTTCCCTATGAGGGCAGCACTTATCTAAATACAGAAAGTCTGTACCAGTGGATATTTGGGGGCGCGCGTTATTTCTAAAGTTCCCCCTCTCCAGGAAGGAACTAAATCCATCCCAGTTCTGTAAGTCACCTAACCACATACCCACAGCTGTGCAGGAACAAGCACCAAGGAATTACCCTTTCCCACCCGCAGAGAACACTTACGAGACACAGTGACAGAAGGAAAGTATGGATCCATTTCTCTCACCTGATCCAACCCTGACCATAGAGGAGCCACAATTTAGAGCAAGAGTTAACTCTTCCTTTTGATTTCCAAGGTGAAGAATCCCGATTTGAAACATCAGCCATAGAACTCAATCTCTACTCTCCTGTTTGCCTGCTAAAGTATATCAAGCTTTTTCAGAGATGTATTGTTTTAGGTAAATACAGGGCTGAATGAATGTATCACTATGCTCCCCAATAAAATAACTTAATTAGAAAATTGGTTGGGGTGGAGTAGGGAAGATGAAACTAAAAGAATGGGCACTTCAGTAAAATTTGAATACAGGGTACGTTAGAACATCCTTACAAACAACCCAGCTATTTCAATACAAATTCTCCTCACTAAAACAAGATTACAACAGTACAATAAAAGTGAGCCAGGAAACTGATTCATTGTTCACAGAGAAGAGAGAATGCTTAAAAATAAATATTATTTTTCTTCCCAGCTCTCCAGAATTTGTCATCTTAATAACTTGAACTGTCTTAGCTAAATTAGAACATTACTTGCTTCAGTGGTGACTGCTAAACCAATTATGACTTCAAGATAGGATCAATACCCACTACTTATGAAACAAAGACTGTTATTACAACTTTGCACCAGAATTCACATATGAAAACAAATGCCTACATTTTAAGTAGGGAATGGTATATTAACATTGGGAAAAAAGAAAACAAACTACACTCGCCAAAGTTCAAGATTAATATTCACTACTAAAAAGATTTTATATTGGTATTAAGAACATTAGAGTAGAAAAAACCATACCTCTAGCACTAGCTGAACATATTAGCCAAGAACTAAAAGAAAACCCAGAAGTTTTAACAGAGAAACTTTTCCAATATCACACTGATATCAGACTGATTTTTTTTTTTGCTTGGTTGGTTTACGCATCTTTCTGCTTTCACTAAAAGCAACATCCATCTTCAATAACTCTGTATCACATTACCACTTGTTGAAGAAACATTCCTTAGTGAGATTCCTTTCTTAGCTTCCAATTTCCATTAAGAGTTCCAAGCAGTTAAAACATCGTTCACAATTCAAGAGGCAAGTGACTGATAGCTGAATACCGAAAGCTGATGGATATGAAGCCATTTGGGTTTGTAAGTATGGCAGTGTACCTCACATAAGAGTTTTTAAAGTTTTTTAAACATTAACTTATTCATATTTATAAGTCTAAGACTTAACGGAATTTTTACCATTTTAAGGGTGCTTGCTCACTGTGAAGTAAAAAATAAAGCAAACCGAAAGGCTGGCATTAATAGTGCATGAATAGCACTGGAAATGTCAAAACTTAGAAAATAATTTATGATATTTATGTTAAATGCTATTGCTCAGCTCTTACAAAAAAAGTAAATTCTACCATGATCAAATCATGGGCAATTTAAACCCCAATACACAAGCCACTGATTTGGTTTGTGTAGCAAAGGGACACAATGCACCAACTTTTC